GCAGCACGGAGCGGGAGGTGGCCCGCGCGGGGTGGGGAACCAGATGAGCTTCCGCCTCCCGGCGCGGTGCCCGCAGTCACCCAACTCGGTATTTGCTGCGCAAATAAAAAGTCCATCGTGCCCTCGCAGAGGGCTCCAAGGGCTCGAGATTAAGGCAGGGTCCGCGGAGGGAGGTGGCAGGCTGAATTCTGCGAAGCCGCGCTGACCCTGACCCTGGCGTCGCCCCTCGATGGTGCCGGTGGCGCCGGAGTTGGGCTCCAGCGGGTGGTCGCGCACCCATCCCAGCCTCACCAAGCCTTTCTAGGAGGAAGTGCCTGACCCGGGCGCCCCTACCCCAGGCGGTGAGCCGGTGGAATCCGGGCTACCTCGGGTCCGGCGCCCGCAGGGATGGATGGTGGTGGCAATGAGTGGCCATTTCCTTTCTTTAACGAACGGGTAAACTTCCTGGCTCGATTCCCTGCGCGGTCTCGGGGCTCCGAGGCCAAGACCGGGAGAGGAGGGCGCCGGCGCGGCCCGGGACACTAGCGCGTGAGCAGCGGGAAGGAGGGCCCGCGCCGAGATTTATGGCCGCAGCCGGCCCCCTGCGCACAGACCGCGTCTCTGTCCTCTCCAAGCCAAACAGTGGAGTGGAAGACCCGACCCGGGCCTGGGGAAGAGGCCAGTGCCGGAGGCGGGGCCGAGAGGAGCTGGAATCTGCCCGGGCCGGGCCTGGCGCATCAGCCCCAGCTGTGCTCGCCGTGCGCCGTGGTCCCGGCGGTGTGCGGATCGCTGGCGCCGCGTCCCTGGTCTTCCAGGCGGGTCGGGGCGGCTTTCGGCTGGTCTGGCCCAATCTGGGCTCGGTGCCGAATCGCGGCTGGACCAGTCGCAGCGAGAACCGCAAGCTTGGCTTTCCTTGGCGCGGCCTCTCCGGGTTTTACTGGCGCCCGGGCCGGGAGCTCCCCGTTTGCCGGACCTAGAACCTTGCGGATACCCTTGGTTAGGAGACCCCACCGCGGCCGCCCGAGCGGGCAGCAAAAGCCGACGATCCCTCAGGGCCTCCTTCGCCGAGACGCCAGCGGAGCGCGGGGGCTTCGGTCCCCATCCGGAAAGGCGGTTGGGGGCGACGGGTGGAGGGGCTCGGGTAGATGCGCCTAAGGAATGGCTTTTTTCTGAGGGAGGGTAAGGGAAGAACGTGTTCACGCGACCAGCAACACCGGGGATCCAGGAAGAGCCGGGTTCAACCCTGCCTAGTACAGAACTGAGACAGGCGGGAGATCGCGGAGTCGGACCTGCTCACCCGCACAGCCCGACGCGGGGACCGAGGCTGCGCCGACGATAGACGCGGTGGGGGAGACAGTCGGGCTCAAGGTTGGCCTGTCCTTTGGTTTTAAAACAAAGGGGGAGAGTTTTGTCAGTCGGGACGTGCCCAGGAAGCCGAGGCCGGAATCGGCGGCCTAGGAACACAGAAAAGGTCGCAGTTCTGGCGGTCCAAGCTGGCCGCAGACAACCGTACCGGGCCTGGCGGAGGCCGGCCTGCGCGGGTTCTCCCGGAACCGCGGATGCAAGGAGGTCCCCCCTTCAGGTTCCCAGATTAATATTTCCTTTCTACGCGGATGCAAGGAGGTCCCCCCCCGCCCCAGCCGGTTTCCCGCCCAGTCAGTAATACACACACAGCGCGTCCACACACTGTTTTTGGCCGCCGATCTGGCTGGTAAACTTAAGCATGAGTGGGTTGGGGAGGGTGGGGGTGGGGCATGGAAGATGGCTGCTGGACTTGCGGCCTGTGCGGTGGCCGTCCGCTCAGAGCAGGGCGCCCAGACCAGGTTTTTACACTTAAATGTGGCCCACCAGCGCTGGGAAGGCGTTTCCCCAAACGCTGCAGCCCGGCTAGGGGTGCCCCACAGGCCCCCCTACGAATGGCAGGGGTCTCCGAAGGAGCGGGGTTTGCACCTTCCACTCGGAATCTGTCCCCCGCCCCAAGATGGCTCCCAGCCGCTGTTTACTCAGCGACTGCGGGGCCGGGGAGGGGACAAAGATCAGGGCGCTCACAGGTCGGCCGCGCGGGCGGCCCCTCAGCGCGATCCGCCCGCGCCCCCACGCGCGCGGCAGCCCCAGAGAACCCGCGCCGGCAGCATCTGCCCTGTGCGTCCCGGCCGGCGGCCAGGAACCCGGAGCCACTGCCGTTGCGTCCCAGACCCGGCTGGAAGGCCGCGCGGCAGGTCGCGCGAGTGTGTGCAGGGAGGACGACGCGAGGGGGCTGGGGAGGCACAAAGCCCGGGGGTAGGGGTACGGGTGGGGGGGCTCGTCTGTCCGGAACCGCAGCCCTAATGAAATGCCGGCTCGGTTCGCCACGCCGACGATGCGCACACTTGAAAAATGCAAACGCCATTGGCAAATCCAGGGCAAACAGGCAGAATTTTTATTAGCAGCTAAATGATTTATGGCACACATACCCTGCCGTCACAATTACGGCGTCTTGGAGCATCCAGGGGTGAAAACATTAAACATTTATAAAAATAGGCCTTTGTTTTTTTCCACCCCTCAAGCCTTTTGTATTCTCCACCCCAACTCCCTCAAAATACATTTCTTTTTCTTAAGCCGTGTTAAAGAAAAACATTCCATATCCCGGGCGGGATAAGGGGTGGGAGATCAAGGCCTGTGCTCCGAATATTGGAGAACAACGGGAATGTGGAGAAAGCGAGGGGGACTCGGCGTTGGACGGTTTACTAGGAACTCACAAAGGCCTCTGGATAATACTCTAAGGGTGCTTGGCGCCCCCACCCACTGACCCTTCCCCTGCCTCGGCTTTCAGCCGCCCCGCGCAGCTCAACTGCATTTATGTTATTTCTGCAATCATCCCCCTCCCTAAGGCACACAGACACAATACCTCCTTTCTCTAACCCCCCTCTCCTCTCCGTCTTTGCTCCTGGCCGTCCCGGGACTGCACCGGGCGCCTCCAGCTGCCTGGGCTGCCAAGGCCGCCACTGAGACCCGCGCGCCCGGCTCCAAGCGCGGACACCGCCGCTCGTTCCCTTCGGATCCAGTTATTTTCGTTCCTTTCTTTCCTTCTCACTCCTCCCTCCTCCCCCCGCGGAGCTCCAGCTTCCAAAAGAGGGCAGCCTAGAAACCAGCGCAGGAGGCTCCAGGAAGGGCAACTTGAAACTGCCCTCAAGAGGCTCAACTTTTTTCCCCCAAATTTATCCTGGAATTAGACACCCCCAATTCGCTCTTGAAGCCTACCCTTTTTTTTTCTAAAAGTGGAAAAAAGAAAATAGAACGAATGGTCGCTAACTAGCTCATTTTTTCCCCTTCCAGAAAAGTTGTGTTAAAAATGGATTTAAAAAAAAAAATAGGACAAGCAATGCGAAAACGCTGAAAACGCTGAGTCCGCAGCGCGGGGCCAAAGAGCGGGGCTTTTCTTGTTTTAATTAAAATCCTATCACCGCGGTTGCTCTGTGAGTCAGGATCTGCTACGATTTTTGCCCCCGCAAGCTTCCTTTTAAGGGTAGGTCAATTCCTAGCCAGGCTTGGGGGGCTGCGGAGAGAGGGCGCGGGGCCCCCGAGACAGTCCCTCCGGCGGGGTCCGCACTCTCTGCGCCCCTAGCCAGGTAGGTCTGCAGTGGCTAGCTCCCAGCGACTCAACCCAGAAAAGATTTTGCTGAAAGCGCAAAATAAAAGTACAAAGTCTGGGAGATTGGGGCTCCCTTCCCCCTACGGCCGCCGTGGCCAGCCAAGCACTTTTTGGCTGATGCTTCCTCTGAGCTCAACAGATTTTTTTCCCCCCCGGTCTCGCCCTCCCTGGAGGGGGTGCGGCGGATGGAAGGCGAGAGAGGCCCCCAGCCAAGAGGTTTTTAATATTACACTTTAATAGGTTTCAGAAGGCCCCGTGGAGAAATGCTAATAGGCTGAAATGTCAGAATCGAGAGGGATTCAGTTCGCGCTCAGCCGATCTAATCCTTTTTTCTGCTCTGATTTTTTTCTTTTCGAGGAGGGGAGAAGGGGAGGGAAGCGCCCACGCCAAGAGGGGCTTTGGGGAGGGGCGGGCTGTGCGAAGCGCCGCAGCCCGGGGCCAGGGCCGAGATGGGGGCGCACCCCGGCCCGCGTTTCTATAGGAACCCCTTTTAGAAGATTAGAGACTCACCGGTTGCCCGCCGCCGCGGCCTCTCCAAAATATTAATCAGTAACCATCTGACACCGCGTTTCAGGGAGGGACCCGCAAGCCGGGGCTAGGAAAACAGCCTTCTCGCCTGCCCATCCCACCCAACCGCGCTGCTGGGGGAGAGGGAATGAATCGCTGCTTTGTTTTAAAAGGAATGGGGGGGGAGGGAAAAAGAGGCCCTTGTCTGTTTTGGCGTCTCCACCGCGCGTTCTAGAGGCGCACCCCAAGGGAGGTGGGGGGCCAGGGCCCTGGCGCGGGGTGCAGCTCTCCAGGCCGCAGGCCCTTCCCGGCTCGCTCGGCTTGTCACCTCCTCCTGCGAGCAGGAAGCTGACAGGCGGCCCATTAAACCGCGCCTTGCAAAGCCCTGGATTGCGGCGACAACCATCTTCCTCTATTTTGATCACTCAGCCCAGACGCTGGGGGAGGGGGAAGGAAAAGGGAGGAGAAGTAGTCAGCGGGGGGGTCCGAGCTGGTTCAGGGGGAGGGCTGCCTAGAAACGGCCCGGAAAAATTCTCACCACCAGTTTTGATCATTCAGCTCTGCCGAGGGGAGCCTGGAAACTGCTGGAGCCCCTAGGTCCGTAATTGGTTTTATAGGAATGGCTGAGGGCCAAGGTGTTTACATGTGCGTGATTGGCGGCGCGCGCGGCCAATGGGTGGTGGCCAGGGGCCGGCCCGCGGGGGAAGGCGGGCACCAGGGAACAATGCGTGTTTCTTCGGCTGAGAGTGCTCCCTTCCCCCAGCCCCCTTAACCCCCCCGCCGCTGGCTGCTTTTTTTTTTTTTTTTTTTTTTTTTTTAGATCCAGCGAGAGGAACTTGAAAGGGGGGTTGTGTAATGTACCTTTTCCAATCCCGGGCTGTATATGGAGATTTGGGATTCTTTAAACCGGCGCTACCTGGATTTTATTAAAAAGTGGGGAGCTCGGCGGGAGGAAAGCTGGCTTTTCCGGGGGCTGCGGGAGCCGGGCCGCGGGAGGGCGGAGGAGTTGGCGCGCCGAGCGCTCGGCCCGGGGAGCGGTTTTCTACCAAAAAAAGGAAAGGCGGGCAAAAAGTGTGAGGCGGCTGCGGGTGGCGGAGGGGAGCGGCGGCCTCGGGATGGCGGGCAGCACGGGCGCCTAGCCGCGCCGGGAGCCGGGGCCGCCACCGGAGTTGCTGACGCCGGAGCCCGGAGCCAGGAGCCCCGCCGCGCCAGGTACGCCTGCCCGCCCCCGGTCGGGCGCGATGGTCTCCAAACTTCTCCAGCTCGCTTGCTCCCCAGCACGTCCTACCCCGCCTGCCCCTCGGGGTGCGCCAGGGGATCCCCGCAGCTATCCGGCTCCCGAGAATGGAATCAGGGACCAGAGCCAGCAAGAGGGGGCGCCAAGGAGGGGTGGGGGCGGGTCGCTGCGCCCCGGGCGCCCACCCAAGCCCCTAGCCCGGCTCTAGTACATCCAGCCCGGCCGAGGGGCATCTGTTCCCCTCTAGGTTCCCGGCAGGCTGTGGGGGAGCTGGGGACGCAGAGACATTTTCGATTATAGGCTGTTTTTAATTAAAAGCCGGAATTCAGCCATTTTAACTGCATTTAAGAGGGGGAGAAAATTAGGGAGAATGCAGCGGAGCCCTCAGATGGCCGAGCCAGCTTCTCTGCCAGACCGAGGGTGTTCTGGGGGGCTTTACCTTGATTTCCCCAAACTGGGGCGTCTGAGCATGCATCGACTCGATGGCTTTTAAAAGAAAGCTAACCAAAGAACATTAAAAAAAAAAAAATCACGGGAAGCTCAACGCGCACTTAAGACATGTATCCTCGGATGTGGCGATCTTAGATTTTCCAAAGTAAACGCGGATCTGGTAACCGGAGCCTGCTGGGAGACAGCGAGGGAGGGAGGGAGGGAGGGGATGTTTGTAACCAAAACCGGGGTAAAATAGGCACCCTTAACAAAGTTGGGAGGGAGGCTGGAGAAGGAGGCTGGCGGGGTTGGTGGGGGGGGGCGGTGTTTGCGGTTGCGAGGGTCTGCAGCTCCGGGAGTTGGGCGCGGAGTGCAGGACGCAGGGCGGGCACTCGGGAGCGGTGGCTTTGGCGTGATCGGTGGCTCTAAGAGTGCCCAGGCCTTGGAATCAGGAAACCGAGCTGCTGCGGGCAGACGGAGAGCAAGGAAGGGTGGGCGCCAAGACCCACTCCCACCCCCACGGGAATCAGCAAACGACAAATCTTTTAAACAAACACTTTAAACTGGAACTACAGGGGGATTTACCCAACGCTGGGGGAGGCACCCCTCGGCCAGTCCGCGCTGCGAAGGTTTTCTTTGTAGGTTATTTTTTTGGTGGTGGGGGAAACTAGTGTTGGAGCGAGATCCTTGGTCCCTTTCCTTTTCTGACATCCCCCCAATCCCCCGCGCCAGGCCACGTTCTCGGGCTGCAAGATTCCCAGGTCAGGCCATTGGAAAATGAAACCAAAGCTTGTTTTGAAGGATTCTTTCCAGTCCACGGAGAGAATGCCACGTCTCGGGTCCTCGGACTCAGACTCTGGGACTTGCCCGAGGGGGGCGGCGGGAGAGGGCGGTGAGCCTCTTTAAAAATAATAAACCCGTTTTGCACCCTCCCTCGTGAAAACAAAACAAAACAAAACACTCTGGCAGCTCAGGGCGAGCTTAGGGAAACCAAACTCAGAAAAAGGGAGGCGAGGGCCCAAAAAGGTTAAATATTAAACTTTCCGGATCAGATAGTGACATTGTATTTCGGGAGATATTTCGAGCCGCTTTTGGAAAGGTTTCACGGTTTTAAACCTCGGAGCATGTGACGCCCAGGAATAAAATACATTTCGGAGGTTTGTATTTACGCTGTCCGGACGCGGCCGAGGGGCCTTCTTCCCCAGTTTGAGGACGGCCCGGCAGCCGCCAAGGCAAAGTCCGGACTGGGGCGCAGTGAGCCACCGGTCACTACCAACCCCGGTCCCCGGGATTCTGAAGCCGCCGGAGGAAGGAGCATAGATTTTTAATTTTCACGAAAAAGGGCCTCCTCCCGATTTCATATCTGGCTGCCAGATCAGTAGTCCCCGATTCCGAA